ATACTTACTAAGGACCTTGCCCAAAGTGTCAGCAATTTCACTGTTTCACTCCCGGGAGTCTCCAGAGTTGACGGAAAGAAAGCCCAAGCCCGCAAAATGGGAGCTACTCCGGGACATTGGTTTCTAAGCCCTGAAACATCATGTAATTTAAAAAAAAAAAAAAGGACTTAACATGGGTTGGCCCACTTTTTATTTTGATACTTAAGGACATGAATAATTTTTATAAAATCCCAATTATCACCTGTTATAACCATTATTTCATAAGATAAACAATTTTCTCCATTATAGAAATTTACAAATATACCTCAACCTTGAAAAAAAATTGTCACGAACTACCATTAACACTTGACTTTGATTGTTTTAGCATATGTTGATCCATCTCTCATCTTTTAATAAAACAAATGCTATTTCAATTTTAAAAAAAATAGAAAGGAAATAATCTCATGTAGAAGACAGAATATCCAATAAAGGTCAATGGACAACTTGACATCAACTGGTATACATTTAAATATCCATAAATGTGCATGCACCTATGTAAGTGTCCATGTTTATAGGCACGCATATATATGAGCATGCGCATATATGTCTTCATGCATTTAAAACTGCATGTCACAGTTTTAATCCCCATTCCTTTTTTATCTGTAAAAACAAGGTCACTACCCCAGCATGAGTGTTTCACAGAGAGTCATTTTAGGACCCACTTAAAAAAAAAAAAAAGACCCAAATACATGCTGCCGACTCATTGGGCAATGTTGGATGTTCGTGTATTTCATTTACGTGCAGTCCCCACTTTGCCAGGATTAGAACAAACACCCCGAGAAGCCGTGTCAGGTGCCACAGGATAAAGTAACAGCAACTGCTATCACTTCTAAAAATTAAAAGAAGCCTTTTTCTCCTTATAGTGAAAACAATTCATGGTCAGTGTTGAAAAGGTAGAAAATATAGATAAACAAAAATAACGAAGTCAGAACAGTACTAATCTCATAACTCAGAGAAAAGGATGCTAACTCTATATTCAGACCCATATCACATCTTTACCTGTTCCTAAATCCGTTTATACATTTAAGTTTATACACTTAGACATTTATGTAAATGTAAATATAGCTATTCTTGCTTTTTTTAAGCATAGAAATCAGATGCAATCCCCACTTTATTATATAATATGATTTATTTTGCTAACAGGATACTGTGAATATCTTTCTATACCATTCATCTTATTCCACATCATCTCCAGGGGCTCCTAGGTATCCCATTATATGGCTTCAGTTACAGGTTGAAAGGAGTGGTTCTCACAGTGTGGTCCCAGGACCAGCAGCATCAGCACTGCCTGGGAACTTGTTAGAAATGCAAATTCTCAGGCCCACTCGTCTTAATGAATTAGAATCTTTAGGACTGGGGTCCAGGCATCTGGATTCTCACAAGCCTTCCAGGTGTTTCTTTATGTGCTCTAAAGTTTGACAACCACTGGCGGATTGAAAGGCCTCCAAGTGAGGGATGGAGCAGC